TGTTCTTGTTTTAGCGCTGCACCTTTCTTTGATTAAAGATGTACTGGGGCTCTGGTCTTCAGAAAAATGGCAGCCCCTGGCAAGAAGAAACAATGCTGGAGGCAGTTTTACAACACAAATTTTGGTAGCACAATTAATAATGTGGAACGTATGTAAGTTGTTAGGTTCCACTTTAACAGCATGGTCATAAACACAGCGAAATGAGACCTGTGGCCCTCAAAGGACTCCAAGAAAAGGAGTTTAGAGTGAGTACAAAAATCCTTTGTTTCTCTTCCATTGAGAGACATGAAGAATTCATCCTCAGGTCACCCGAAAGCACTCAAACTGAATAGTGGGCAACAACAAACAAATAACATGTCTAACATGAACAGGGGAATGTTTGCAGCTTAAGGGCTGCCTGAAGGACCAAAAACCCAAAATGGTCACCTGACAAGGTTAAACCCCTCACCTGGTAAGAGAAATATGATTAGACCAGAAGAAAACACGAAGAAGCCTAATGCTCAAAAGTCTAGGAAATAAAAATGCTAGCAATGTAGAACTTAAAGTATAATTAAAGGCAAAACTTTATTTTTGGATGGAGTGGAAAGAGATTAAACACCTGTCCGTTTCTACTGCAGTCTGTGCCCCTATTAGGGAGATTCACCTGTTTTGTCCTGTTCACCATTATTACTAAAAGTGAAAGGTTGTCTCCAGAAAAGTAGGAAAATCTTCTAATGAGCACACTAGTTTTGGTGACCTGGGGCACCCCCAAGGGATTCCCTTAATTTGCAGGGATTTCTTCTCACTTCCTGTTTTGGCTAGGAGTCAGAAAGTGAAGGGAGATCTCCCCAATGGACCACAGATGGCAAATAAATTGACAGGGACTATAACCCTGGACAAAATTAAAACAAGAGGGACTTTAATTATGCTGTTGTGGATGCATAAAGAGGAAGTTGGAATACATTAAAAATCCAACAATTTTATTACAAAAATTAAATTAAAAAAATTGCCAGTAGTATACATAAATAGAATGTAAAACATGATTGAAAAGGCGGAACAGAAGACAATCACAGTAAAGTGAACATTCTACAAATTTTGTAGAACTTCCTACCTAATCAGACCTTCTGTGCTTTGGGGAATATTTGGTTATAACGATCCCTTACTCTATCCAAAAGAGAAAAGTTTTATCCACAGTTCTACTTTAAAGCAATAATAAAAAGGTAGAATTAAAAGACATCCCTCCTTATTGGCTGTAAACGACCTCGACAGGAGCCAATGGCTCCTGCTTCTGTCTCTCAGCCAATAAGGAGGTAGAGACCCAGGAGAGCAGCTGCTCCTGTGCACATCACTGGATCGTGATCAGGCTCAGGTAAGTATAAAGAGGGTCTGAGCGGGGAGTTTCATACTGAAACTTTTTTTTACTAGAACCACTTTAAGAGAAGAAGTCCATCCTCCTAGGACACTAGGAAAAAAAAACGAGGCATGCTGGTTGTAGGAGGGGTTATTCTGTCCTGGTTTTGGCAAGTATCTAATCTTTCTGTAGACAATAGTACAACCCTATTTTGAAGACTTCCTTTGCCATTCAAAGTATGAGTAATGAGATTTTAGCAATCAGGATTACATCTGCTTTAATTTCAGATCAAGCCGGTCAATTCAAGGTTGTTCTCACGTATATTATGTCTGTTCATACACGGACATGATCCACATGGGTTAAAAAAAAAGAAAACAAAAATCCCCACGACCAGCACAGTAGTAAACAGAACTAAGTGCAGGTCAGGGACGTTTTGTGAGTGCCAAGATGCACGAAACCTATATGTCCTAACAAGATTGTCAGCAGATAAGATTTGAGAACTAATCAAAATAAATTTGGTAAACTACATCTGCCACAAAGACTACCGTCCTCCAAGTTACTAAAAGTAGGTTTGTTCAAAAGACTTAAAGAAAAACGTATTAATGGCACCTTATAATATGAGTTAAGTAAAATTATGGTGGCACGGTGACGGGAGTGATTTTGCAATGCTGGGCTTACTGCTGATCCAGGATTTCACAAATAACTAGCATTATTTTGAGTTTGGCCTGCCTAAGCCTAAATTGGCAACAAAGAGCACAGTTACACACATCCAAAAGTCAACAACCTCTCCGGACAACTGTGGGTAATGTTTCTATACATACTTGTGAATGTCAACGGCTCTTTTCACATATATAACAAAAAGTTCTACAAGCATACAAGACACAGTGCTGCATAAAAAAGTTACTTCCCATGTAAAAATCAGCAGCAACGGATTACATGATAGGTTGCTGACTGCAAAAAAAAAAAAAAGGGCGCCTTGTCACAGTTTTTTGGCTAGATATATATAATCAACCCAAAAGCAAAATTTCAGTGTCTGGTAAATGCTGGAGAGTAAAATCCCTTAGTGGTGTCATATCTCTTAGAGATGCCTGCATTTGTCATCCTGGATGACACCTACTGCAGCCATTACAAGGAAGTCTTGTGCTGCCTTCATAAATTTTATAGGAGGTTCATATATCCAACAAATGAACAAGAATGGAAACAACATGCTGTTCCATCAATGGTGAGGATGCTACACCCAACTCCTCTAACATGGCTCACCCACTAATGGGGAATAACTGTAGAACCTACAATAAAGCCCCAGCAGGGAACAAAACACAGAGCAGAGCTGGGTGAAATGTCCTCAGGCGTGCTGAAAAAAATAAAGATTTTTTTTATGACTTATGGAACAGCGGTGTGCAGCTTCTTATTATGGTATGTGGACTAGTTTGAGAGGACAGGATTGCAAGATGCACCTGGGATGGTGACAGCGGCAGACCTTTGAGAGGTACCAGGGATACTGTGAATAAGAGTGGAAACACTCTTATGTTGTGCAGGAAAAGAGCCAGGAACTATGGTTATGTCCCTTTCACGGAGGCGATCTGATGAGGTCCACCTGTAAGTTATTTAAGTGGACCTGATCAGATGTATCCCTATGGCCTGGAAGGTTTACAAAAAAAAAAAAAAAAAGAAGAAGAAGAAGAAGGGATTCGTACCCCTCCGTCTAGGCGGATCGGAGGCCGGTCAGTTGTACACTTACAGCTGCTATGTTTTCAGCCGCCCATAGAGCAGAGCACGCTCTGTCCAATCTGCAGAAACTGGTTGGACATGGAGCACGCCTGTCATTCACCCGCTTAGACAGGGGATCATCAGACAGATGAAAGCCAATCGCATACACTTGCTTAAAATATCACTTTTTGGTTGACTAACCCTTTAAAGAGCTTCTCCAGGTAAGAAGTGACCTGAGATGAAGGGAGGATCTTTAGTCATTTACAACTGTCCCCTTATTAAGTTCCACAAGAGAGCTGTACAAAGGCCTGAGCCCTTATCTGAAACCATCTCTGTCTGTATCTTCCTCAGCTACAAGTCCCTCTCAGCAGATACCAATTTAGTTTGAAAGCTCAGACTACACATCAACTTTTTAATTAAATTAATGAGCGGAGGAGCATATTTGACATGCAAATTATAGACAGACTCCCTTCAAACCAGGACAGATTTTACCGCTTATCTGCAGAAAAATAAAGCAAGCCTGTCAGCCACTTTTTACCATCCTGCCTACTAGCCAGAAACCCCTTCCCTGAAGCTAGTTTTACCTTGTTACTACTAGATATGTATTAGCGCTGGAGTAAATAGAATAAGAATTGGTTTTGGTGTGAATTCAAGAGGGACTGTTCTTGGAGGAGGTGAACCCTTTGGGAAGGTATGGCATGTATAGACCTGATTCAGGCCCTGCTTCTAAGATCACAATGAAGAAAGCTCATCAGAATATCAAATCCTGGGATATGTGATTGGGAGTGCCTAGCAAAAATGGTCACTAATGGATTGTAAATTAGTTTAAAATGTTTACTCAACAAGAATGTCAAATACAGCCAATGCATTTTGGGGGGTTTGATTTCCTTCTTCAGGGCTTAAAAGATTTGAGCATCTTTATGACCCAAGAATCTTTTCAAGCGATCTGAAGGCACTCTCAACCTAATATCCATCAGTACTAGGCACTGCCAACCACAACCCTACTCCCCGGTAAGCGAAAGTGCCACTGTAGAACTTATTTGATACAGGCCAATGTCCACTGATGCCAGAGTCCTAGGGAAGGAAAGATAGTTCAAGAGCTGCACAAAGTCATTTTTTTGAAAGTAACACCAGGCACCAGGGGCCTTATGGTGTCTATTTTAAGGCTTTACTTTTAATCCGGCTAACAGGTTAACGGTAATAAAAACGCTGCAAACAGAAGGAAAGGGGGAAAGGAGGATGTGCATTAACCATTTCATTACAAGATTAAATATATTAAACGGACAGGATTCACAGACAGATTTGCCAGGCTGGAGACTTTCCACAGTAAGCACTAAACCCCTTGACGCAATTAAAAAAAAAACAAAAAAAACCAGAGCAAACCATATTCCAAACAGTGATTTACCCCATCTGTAAACAATATAAAGAACAAAAAAAGAAAAACATACATACAATAAGTTAAAGACAATATAAGGAACCGGGCAACTGTGAAAATATACGATTAGTGGAGAGGGAGAAGACAATCAAAACCTGACACGGCAGCGATCATAATGTTTCCTTAACCATGTTACAAAAATGGCTGGCAAAATACACAGGATGTCATTAACGGAGATCACTACCAAGTAACGTTGGCAACTGATCAGAACTGCGCTGGCAATTTATCAATGACAAAAAAATACATCAAATTAAAAAAAAAATAGCGCTTCAACAAGCAACTGATATTTGACATAATAAAAATAAAAAAAACAAAAACTAAATGGCTATGTTTCCTCTATTAGCAAAAACACATAATGCAGTCTTAATAAATTTGCCTTTTCATTACATATACATATATATATAGAGAGAAAAAGAGAGAGAGAATGATATATCTATATCTATGGCCTCTATCTAGATATAGATATATACATGAACACAACATGGATGCAGTTTTTTTACAGTGTATGGGGAGGGCATAGGACTTGCATTAGACCATGGCACGGTAAGGACCTTGCATCTTCAAAAACTGGATAATAAATGAGGGCCCACCAGCAACAATTTGTGGAGGCAGGTGACTGAGAGGACAGTTCTCAATACTCATGATTGACAGTTTGCTGCACAGGGCCAGCTCGAAGGGGAGGCCATGTAAATTGGGGTTGTCGTTGAGATACAGCTCCTCTAAGTTCTCCAGTGTACCTGTGGGAGGTGGAGAGGACACAAGTGTTACAGTCATGATTTATTTTTTATTACCCGTCAGTTGGATAAAACCTAAACAAAAGAATTTTGGTAGTATTTGAAGAGTGCTGCTTTATTTCCAGTTGAGAGTGTATCTAGCAAAGTAATATATCTCTGGATAGTAAACTTACTGAGTGAACACAATATCTCAAATAAAGAATAAATACAGTGAGAACATAAATATTTGAACATCCTGCGATTTTGCAAGTTCTCCCACTTAGAAATCATGGAGGGGTCTGACATTCACATTGTAGGTGCATTCCCACTCTGAGAGACAGAATTAAAAAAAAAAAAATTCAGGAAATCACATTGTCTGATTTTTAAAGAATGTATTTGTCTTGCACTGCTGAACATAAGTATTTGAACACCTGAGAAAATCAGTGTTAATATTTGGTACAGAAGCCTTTGTTTGCAATTACAGAGGTCAGACGTTTCCTGTAGTTCTTGCCCAAGTTTGCACACACTGCAACAGGGATTTTGGCCCACTCCTCCACACAGATCTCCTCTAGATCTGTCAGGTTTCGGGGCTGTCACTGAGCAACATGGAGTTTCAGCTCCCTCCAAAGATGTTCTATTGGATTTAGGTCTGGAGACTGGCTAGGCCACTCCAAAACCTTAATATGCTTCTTACAGAGCCGCTCCTTGGTTATCCTGGCTGTGTGCTTCGAGTCGGTGTCATGTTGGAAGACCCAGCCATGACCCATCTTCAATGCTCTGAGGGAAGGAGGTTGTTGCTCAAAATCTCACAATAAATAACCCCATTCATCCTCTCCTTAATACAGTGCAGTCTTCCTGTTCCCTTCACAGAAAAGCACTCCCAAAAGCATGATGTTACCACCCCATGCTTCACATTAGGGATGGTGTTCTTGGGATGCAACTCATCCTTCTTTTTCCTCCAAACACAACGAGTGAAGTTTAGAACAAAAAGTTCTACTTTGTTCTCATCTGACCACATGACTTTCTCCCATGCCTCCTCTGGATCATCCAGATGGTCATTGGCAAACTTCAGACAGGCCTGGACATGTGATGACTTGAGCAGAGGAACCTTCCGTGCAATGCATGATTTAAAACCATGACGGCGTAGTGTTCTACCGACAGTGACCTTTGAAACTGTGGTCCCAGCTCTCTTCATGTCATTGACCAGCTCCTCCCTTGTAGTTCTGGGCTGATTCCTCACCTTTCTTCTCATCAGTGATACCCCACAAGGTGAGATCTTGCATGGAGCCCCAGTCCGAGGGAGACTGACAGTCATCTTTAGCCTCTTCCATTTTCTAACAATTATTCCAACAGTTTATCTATTTTCACCAAACTGCTTGGCAATTGCCCCGTAGCCCTTTCCAGCCTTGTGGAGGGGCCACAATTTTGTCTCTGGTGTCTTTTGACAGCTCTTTGGTTTTGCCCATGGTAGTAGTTGGCGTCTGACTGACTGTGGGGTGGACAGGTGTCTTTAAAGAGCTCAGACAAGTGTTACTAAGTTAGATGAATGAGTGGAGTAGAAGTGGACTTTTTAAAGGCACAGTAACAGGTCTTTGAACACCTAAGAAACAGAATTCTGGTTCTCAAATAAGTGCAAGACAAATAAATTCTTTAAAAATCATACAATGTGATTTCCTGAATTTTTTTTTTAATTCTGTCTCTCAGAGTGGAAATGCACCTACAATGTGAATTTCAGACCCTTCATGATTTCTAAGTGGGAGAACTTGCAAAATCGCAGGGTGGTTAAATATATATAGATAGATAAATAGATAGAGAGAATGAATCTATATATTCGTCAATTCTGGCACAGATAGAATTAATGCCACTCACAATTGGCCTTCCAGGTGGTTTAGTTTTATTTTTGTGTAGCTTGGGAACATAATATATTGTAGGTATTCTTGGATTTTTTTTTTTTGAAGAAGTTATTTAGCTTCTTTCTCTGTAAGAATCCCTATTTCTTTTCGTTTTTTTTTATTATTTTCTTTAGTTGATGTTTAAGATTTTTTGCAGGGTTAGTCTTTAACGTTTTATATGTGTCCTTGATATTCAATAGTCTCTCCATCTCCTCATAATCTCCCTTAATTAACACTACAATACTCCCGCTTTATTGGCTCCCCTAATGATTCTATTTTTTCTATTTTCTAATTCCTTGATACCCAGTTCTATTTCACAGGGAAACATACCTGAATGCATTGTTTCAAGCTCTTTAATATCATTCTCTACCATCCTCCTGAAAACCTCCAAAAAATCATTACTCTTATTCTTTGGATTAAATGCAGAATTATTCTTCAATTTACTATGTGAAAAAATATTATCTGATGTTTTCCTATTATTTTTGTCAATCGTATTTTTATTTAAATTAAAAAATTTATTTTATATTCAATTTCTTTATAAATGTTTGTACATCTATAAACATATCAAATTTATTCAAATTAGCCAGTGGTACATATTTCAAGCCCAAATCTAATACTTGCAATTCTCTCTCTGTTAAAACAGCATTGCTAAGATTGAAAATGCCTGTTCCTAATTTTCTCTCTCTTTTCCTTTCTACTTCCTCCTCTCTTCCCTCTGTATTCCCTTTTCTTACTCAAGTACTGTCTTCCTCTTGTTCTCTCCAACCTCTCTCCAATGGTCTGTGTCCTCTCAGTGCATGGTACCATCCCCTGTGGAAATTCGGAAAACCCCCTCTTGATGGACCCCCCCTGAAAAATGGTTTATAATTTTACCAGCATGGGGCTCTGATGAGTGAATTCAATTCATTTGGTGGTGGATTTTTTCACGTTTTATCACATTATATGTGAAAGTTTAAGATTTATTGGATCAGGCATTAATAATTTATATATACTTTTCAATTTATATATACACTTTACACAATATTTTTTTGCACCAAGGACTCTGTTGGACACTGGTTTATATATACGCTTTTTGTGCACTGTTTAATATGGCACTGATTTATATTTATTAATTGTACTGCTACATATGTTTGAGATATTAATTTTTTTTAATTGTGTTCACTCAGTATAAATACTTTGAAGAGCGCTGCTTTATTTCCAGTTGAGATTGTTACCCTGTTCTACAGGGGCTAGTTAGCAGATCTTCCTAAAATATCTGTTTGATATACGTACATCTATTTTTATTGGTTCCATAGGTGCTTTCCCCAAATTGTTATTTCATTTGTTAGATACACACCTGAGGCAAGCCTAGCATTTAAGTGCTACCCTTTATAAACCTCAACATCATAAACCTATTACATATAAATATTACATAAACAAAGAATTGAAATTTTTGGAAAGAAAATTAAGATTTTAGGAACAGAGAGACTGCCTGCAACTCAAGGAGCAGCCCGAAGCGGACATCAGGTGAGCCCCTTGTAAAACTTGGAGAAATGGTGAACAGAAGCCCACGTGGCTGCCTTTCAAACCTGAAAAACGGTTGTCTGATGCAAGCAAAAAAAAAAACCTTTTCTTGACAAAAGGATGGATGCTGATCCGTGAGACTACTAGCTTGGATGATGGTCTGTTTGCGCTCCGTAGAGATGGTGGACCAAGAAGCTTGTGCTCCGTTTCAGGGTAAAGCCCAGATAAAAAAAAAAAAGGGAATATGTTCTGCTGAAAGAAGCAGTGGTTGAGAGATAGGATCTCACTGCTTGAACCAATATAGACAATGGAGATAAATTTCTGTCTGGTGTCCTTGAGCTGGACAGAGGAGCAGAAGAACAATGTTCTGGATGAGGTGAAAGGCAGAAGCTTCCTTAGGCAAGAAAAGACCTGGGACTCAGCACACCTTGCCCCCGTTCAAAACCAGAAAGAGTTCTCCTCGCAGGGCATAGCTGCCAATTCGGACACTCACTTCACAAAAGAGAAGGCTAAAAAACATCACTTTGAGGTTTGAACCCATTAGAAGCATACGTTTCTCGATTTTCACCCACAGTTTCTGAAGTGCTGGGGACAACCAGATTCAGAACCCACTGAGTCACAGGGTAATGAATGGGGAGAGCTATGTGGAAGAACCACAAAGGTCTTAAAAAGAAGATTTTTTTCTGCACATAATTCTGAAACCTGTATAAAACTCAAGTGCGTATGAAACCTGTTGTAAACTGATGTCTCTGCAAGTGAAAGTTTACACAAGTTTTTCTGCACGTATGTTGTGAATGAGGTCCAACTGATTTTTTTCCCCCTCTTATGCTAACAAGCGAACATTGTTAAAAAAAAAAAAAAAAAAAAAATCTGTACAATAAAAAAGAATGTGCTTTGTGGTTCAATCTGCTAGCTCCTAGGTCTCTACTGTGTCTTCTAGTGAAGTCGGGGTTCAAAAGGAGGAACCACAGTGCATATCAGGGGATCAGGAATTGAATCCAGAAAAACTTCCAGAAATGTAAGGCTCAGAATCTTCCGCTTCAGAGGTGCAGATTCAAGGTCTTCTTTGCAGGAAGCCTTTTTATTGTGTTATTTAAAAAAAAGTAAAAAAAAAATGTAAATTACGCCAGGTATTCTTTGATAAAATTAAGCAAAATTTAAAACACCCACCTATTTCCTCCGGAAGATGAGTGAGGAGGTTCTCCCCAAGTCCAAGGTGCGTCAGGTTTGTCAAGTGACCGATCCCTCTTGGCAAGGTCGTCAGCTGGTTATTCGTCAGAACCAGTTTCTGTTTGGAAAACAAACAAGAATGATGGAAAGGAATTATGAGAGATGAGAATTTAAGTAAAGCCTTTTATCGATAAAGCCAACAGGGGGCCAATCAGAATGCAGCTGATACAGACGGTTTCCTTTTTTTTTTTTTAAATTTGCTTTATTGTTTTTATACACCAGTGCCAGGGGGTCCTGTCTAACTTCTACATGCCTGATTTTTCTTACAATAATGCCATGGCATGACATATGGGATGATATTTCTATCAACCTCACATAAATCTATCATACGTCCGAATACCTACATAGGATTGGTTTGCAAGAGAAACAGATGTAGTCATCCTCAAGGCTATTTCATTCACCTTCTTTGTCGGTGCCCCAAATTGAAAAAGGTACTGGGGAGTAATTAAAACGATCAATGACCTTTTTGGTAATGTAATCAAATTATGGAACATCTCAACTGTATTTTAGGTTACTATGACACTTCCCTTATTTATGACTTCTATCCCTAGTGGTCACTAGATCACTTTTTGTTGTTCACAGGATGCTTGTGCTAAAATGGATATCAGCAATAACCTACCCGAAGAGAATAGGTGTATTTCATTTTAAAAAATAAAGACGACTTAAATAAATACTTGTTATAGAACATGATGTGTATACATGACTACTTGGTCTTGCTAGACGGAGCTGATGTGTTCCCGCTTATCCCAATATTGGAGTTGCCTGACTGTTACGGTCCAGGTACTTTGTTCTAACTTGTGCTCCTGTACCATATTCTGTATTTATAAAATGTAAAACCCTGATCTTATGAGCTGTATGTTGACTTCTCTTCAACCTCCCCTGTCCGTAAATTGTTTTACTAAATAAAATATAAATTAAAAAAATGCCATGGTGATTGAACAGGTTTTTATAAAAACTGCTCATCCATACCAAAATTCAGTGCAAATAGAACAGTTACTGAAAACATCTGCCCTGCATCATGTAAAAAATACTTTCTATATATACTTAGCAGTGTTTATGGAGCAAGTTGGTTGCCAGAAAAATGGAATCAGTACACAAAGTTCCATGTTTCCTTTTTAATCAATAAAGCTCAGTCCCAACATGAATATTATAAGGCAGGAAAGAGCCAGGAAGAGGAAGTAAAATGGAAGCGAAGGAGAGAGAAAGGAAGGGGAAAGACAGAAAAAAAGATAGGCAAGAGAAATGAAAAGTAACTAATAAAAGAGGGAGGAAAGGAGAGAGAGAAGATGAGAAACATGTATTAAATGAATGCAGGTCGAAACAAGGAAGTAAGAGAAATGTGATGGGATACAGAAGAGAAGATAGGAATGAGAGACCTGTAAACATGTAGAAAGAATAACAAAGAAAGAGAAAAAGATAACATGAACAAAGAAACAAGCGAGCGAAAGAAGCACCAGAGAGGAAAAAAAAAAGTGGAGTGATTACAATTATGGATCATCAGAGAATTTCTGCATAAACACGATGTTCACAAATCAACACATTAGGATGAGGCCTCTCTGCCTTCATTATTCTCCTGTACAGGAAATCTCTGCTTAATTGGATTATCAGAGCTAAGAGGAAATGTTAGTTGATAATATGAAGATCTGCTCAGTTATGTGCACACAACATTCGGGCAATCAATATAATCAGCAAGAACCTCCCAGGAGCTCATTAGGAATGTGCTCAGAGATTAGAGGAGTTATAAACTGGTGTCATACTGAAAGAATTTACCACATCTGAATGGAAGCGTACAATTCTGGTGTCTAACGCCACCAGGGGTCTTATACAGCAAAGACTTTAGCTACTACAATAAACATTCCACTGCACAATATATGTGCATCAAAGTGAAACTCTACATGATTTATCCACTCGTCCCCCCTGCCCCACCCCATTTATTTTTTTTTTTGAACCCTATACATACCTTTTCTCCTGAGGTCTACTTGCCGGACCAGTGATGCTGTTGTTCTGGCAACAGGCATTCTTCCAGGACTGAGTGGCATTCACATAATGAGGTGTGAACAACGCTCACTTCTGGAACACTGGGAGCTAAGCCTGTGTGATGATCGTCCCTGGGGGGGGGGTGGGGGGGTGTTTGATGTAACTGCCAGGCTAGGCTCACAAAAAATGGGCTTCCAAGGAAGAAGTCAGAGACAGCCCTGCAGGTTGAAGAGGGGACCACTACTTATTTATCTTTTTAATATACAGGGGTGAGGAAGGGATCTAAAAAAAAAAACAAAATTATGAAAAACGAAACCTTGGAGTTTTAACGATGCTTTCCTGGCTGGTTGACGAGGAGTTAAATCTTTGGTTGGTTATTTGTACAGCGTACCCCTCCCTCTCCCAACTGCAAGCTGTAGTATCACCTGCTGGTCACCGACATCACTACTGTCCCCTGTAGGGATGTAGCGACTGGTAGGAGGAACCACAGACTCCAGCTGGGGACAATGCAGAGCCTGACAGCAACAGAGAAAGCTGGCAGCAGAGAGAGAAGATTTTACTCACTGTTTGCTACACGGTTACATTTTCAGTGTTTTCCTTACAGGGTGTTTTTGATTAGATCTGGTTATCCTAGTGACAGGGGTCACTTTATTCACCTACATACTGCCGTATTAAATAGAAAAAAAAAAAGAATGCACAGAGGTGGATGTGTATTTCTGGAGTACCGTTTATAAACAGCAGAGAGAACACACTCAAACGACCATTGTGAATTGCAGTCACCTGAGCTATCGTTTGATAGCTCATATAGTCAGGACAGTACACAGCCAATTTAGCTCTGTACTTTGTGATTGCTGTGAACCAATCACAGCCATTAAAACAATCAGCCCTTTTACAACAAACGAAGCTCCACTTCCTCCATTGCAAAGAAGCTGAATGTTTGAAAACACATCAGGAAACAGCGGTTAAAATGTGAACGTGGGGTGTCCTAAAGGGCCAATGACCACCAATGATTATGGAATTTTTTTTTTTTTTATTGGACGGTGGGGAAGGGGCCTTTTTGCCTTTATGTATAAAAAAAATCCCCAGTGGTTATTAAATACCAAAAAAAAAAAAAAAAAACTATCATAAAAAAATTACATAAAATTAAATTGGTTACAGTGATGCATGACCAAGTATTTGTCAAAACTATCACATTGCTGAAAACTGAGACGTTATCTGGTAATTAAAGGGTATATACACATTCCAATACTCAAGTGGTTAGAAATCTCACACAGGATACCACAACTGTCATGCCCATCCGCAATGTGACCACTTTGTATTGCACACAGTTTAAAGATGACACAGAACCGAAGTATATTAAATCACACCCTGGCCAAGCTGACATGGAAATACACATGTGCTTGCGATAAACTGCCCCACCTACAAGTGCCACAACTCTTTATTATAAACCAACTGAGCTTGTCATCATTTGTTCTGCTGGGCAAGACAGTCTACAAAAAAAAAAAAAAAAAAAAGTTATTAAGTTGTGTTGATGTGCATACAGTGAGGAACAGAGGTATTTGAACACCCTGCGATTTTGCAGTCTCCCTCGGACTGGGGCTCCATGCAAGATCTCACCTCGTGGGGTACCACTGATAAGAAAAGTGAGGAATCAGCCCAGAACTACAAGGGAGGAGCTGGTCAATGACATGAAGAGAGCTGGGACCACAGTTTCAAAGGTCACTGTCGGTAGAACACTACACCGTCATGGTTTCAAATCATGCATTGCACGGAAGGTTCCCCTGCTCAAGTCATCACATGTCCAGGCCCGTCTGAAGTTTGCCCATGACCATCTGGATGATCCAGAGGAGGCATGGGAGAAAGTCATGTGGTCAGATGAGACCAAAGTAGAATTTTTTGGTCTAAACTTCACTCGTCGTGTTTGGAGGAAAAAAGGATGAGTTGCATCCCAAGAACACCATCCCTACTGTGAAGCATGGGGGTGGTAATATCATGCTTTGGGGGTGCTTTTCTGTGAAGGGGACAGGACGACTGCACTGTATTAAGGAGAGGATGAATGGGGCCATTTATTGTGAGATTTTGAGCAACAACCTCCTTCCCTCAGTCAGAGCATTGAAGATGGGTCATGGCTGGGTCTTCCAACATGACAACGACCCGAAGCACACAGCCAGGATAACCAAGGAGTGGCTCCGTAAGAAGCATATCAAGGTTCTGGAGTGGCCTAGCCAGTCTCCAGACCTAAATCCAATAGAACATCTTTAGAGGGAGCTGAAACTCCGTGTTGCTCAGCGACAGCCCCGAAACCTGACAGATCTAGAGGAGATCTGTGTGGAGGAGTGGGCCAAAATCCCTGTTGCAGTGCAAACCTGGTCAAGGGCTACAGGAAACGTTTGACCTCTGTAATTGCAAACAAAGGCTTCTGTACCAAATATTAACACTGATTTTCTCAGGTGTTCAAATACTTATGTTCAGCAGTGCAAGACAAATACATTCTTTAAAAATCATACAATGTGATTGCCTGAATTTTTTTTTAAATTCTCTCTCAGAGTGGGAATGCACCTACAATGTGAATTTCAGACCCCTCCATGATTTCTAAGTGGGAGAACTTGCAAAATCGCAGGGTGTTCAAATACCTCTGTTCCTCACTGTATGTGCTAACAAGGGACATGCCGATAGTAGCAGAATAACAGATGCGCAGAAGAAAAAAAAAAAAATCAGGTCTCCTGTCCTGCTAAACAGGTATTGTGCTGTGTGGCAAATCTGTTTAAATCTCGGGACTGGATGAACAGAAATACAAATCCTTTGGCAGGTAAAATGCTCTCATAAATTATCTGTGTATTTAGCGGTTTGCCTGGAGGTCGGCTTTAACCAACACTGCTCATGATGCGCACTTAGCCTTCAGTGACCTCTAGTTATGAAAGAATTGTCCTGTGTGTGGGGTGGAATAGTTGCAACACTGTTGAAGACCAATAAAACCAACTACAGAGAAGAAAGCTACATTACTGAAGAGAAAAGCCCCCAAGTTGGCCAGTATTTGCTCCACTGTTACCTGCAGGTCTTTTAGGTAAGCAATTTCGTTTGGCAAAGACTCAAGCTTGTTCTCTTCGAGATCCAACTCCCTCAGCTTGCGCAGATTCCCAATACCATGTGGCAGCTTCTTTAAGAGATTGTTTGATAGAGTTAAAACCTGTAAAAATATGCAGAAGGTTTAGTAGGAAGGGAAGCTTCAGACACCCACTGGAAGATAAACAGGATCTGTGCTAATGGAAGAAATACCTCAATAGAGACTAAACCAGACACATCTTCTGGGATTTTTGTTAGCTGGTTGGTGGCCAGGTTCAGCTCCACCATACTCGTCCATGTGCCGAAATCCAAGGGTAAAGAAGTTAGCTGATTGTCCTGTTAAAGTGAAAAAAGTGGAATTATTAGGATTTATGTGAAGGAATATTACTTATATAATATACAAAATATTACAATAATATACAAAATATAATAATAATATAATAATAAAAAATAAAAATATAAATAATATTACAAAATATTACAGAAGAGACTTAAGGAGAAGAGGAACAAAACAAAGGATTTTTTTTTTTTTTAAGCAAACGTAACCTTACAACATAAAAGCTCATTCATTTTAACATTTGCGCCCACTAGTGATCCCCACAGGTAACTGCTGGCTGTGCAGACAGCCATATATTTCTGACACCACTGACCTGTCACTGAAGTGTACTGGGCGCAGTGGCCGCAGCTAGGAAATGGAAATGAAGGCAGCCAAACTAGTTTTAAAATTTTAAAGCAGTCCTTCATCCTCAAGTGTATGTTGCCTCCTATCTCCCCTTGCCCCCCTCCCCAGCAAGTCATTTGCCTAGATGCATGACGTGAATTCTACCCTCTATGCCTCCTGTGAGGTGCATGTCGCATCTCAGAAGGCATAGTCCTTCATTGAGATAGGAAGGGCATGAGCCTAGCGGTGTGTCAATTGTGAAGATCGGTGGCTGAACCCAGAAAAGCCAGAGGGCCTCACGATGACATCAGATAAGATGATGGTGGCATGGGACAGAATTCTGAGAGGATTCTGCAGGACACCACTGGGTGAGTATCGTAAATGGTTCCAACTCACCATAGTTGCCATTCGAATGGGAAAAAAAAAAGTGGAGATCCGCTTTAAGAAATCGCCAACTCCAGCAAAAACTTTTTTAGCAGTAACAGTTTTCCTTATGTAATAAAGGTTTTAGCACCATAAATAAAAAGCTGACAGTTTGCTTCACCTCTGTTGGTCTAATAGTTTGCCCTATCCTCTGTAAATGGCACTTTTAGATGTGGAGAAAAATACATAGACAGAAAAAAAAACAATACAATGTATATACAGAATACCATCATTGCAGGTAAAACCATATACAGCAAACGTGTTTTTATGTGACCAAGCCCAAAAGATATAGAACGCTGAAAATGTTTTTTTGCTGGAAAAAATATTTTTAGACTTTAAAGCTGAAGTTAGATATGATTATTATAGCTACATTAGCCCATCTTAGACCAAAGTAAAATGACTGCATATCTCATACCAGACCGATCCCTGTGTAAGCTGCAAAACTCTGTAGTAATACATCTACTACAGTAATAGCAGCAGTCGTCCACAACCAGAGCTGAGGGGCTGCCCTTCTGTATAGTGGAGTTGCTTGCTTGCCACTGGTCCCACTCAGAGAAAGCCTTGTTTTCAATAAATTCAAGGAGTTCTCTGATAAGATGAAGTGGAGATTGTGACATCACTGCCTCATCCAATCAGAGAACATCTTTTCTCGATGGAAATAAATGCAAGGCTTTCTCTGAATGGTGGCAGTGCCAAGAAGGCAACCCCTGTGGTTACTACACAGAAGAACAGTAGAACTGATAACCTAATGGACCAATGTACCGACCATGCCTAAAAATGTTAGCTTTAAAGGCTGACAGTACAGAAGCGCTCTCTTCACAAAACAATCACTACTGAACAGGTCAGAACTCACCTTCATATTCAGCTTACTTAATACTTTAGCTCTGGAGAAAATTCCAAATGGAATTTTGTTAATACGATTATGCTCCATGTTGAGGGAGTAGATAGTGGAAAACTGTGAGGGCCCGCCCACCGGATAGGACTGGAAACAGTTCCTGGCAAGGGTTAAACTTGTCATTTTCACCAGGCTGGACAGCAGACCCTGTGGAGAAAACACAGGCAAGTTTACCTTTGAGTCACAATACAATGTCTTTGCTCATTTTACAATTGGGTAATAATAAACAGTGTGTATGGACCTGGGGAAAGCATACAAAACTCGGCGGTGCATCGCTACAGAGATCACCAGCAGGAGGAAGGAGGTTCTGTTTCCTCTATATAGATCTTTATATCACTATAGGGGATCACCTACAGGAAGGAGGTTGTGATTCCACTATATAGATATTTATATCATTAGAGGGATCACCAGCAGGAGGAAAAAAGTGCCGATTCCTCTATATCAGTGGTTGTCAACTTATGAGCTAAAAGGTGCCTCAAATTCAGGCCTTGACATCAGCAAAGGGCTGCACATAATGCATTATATGTAATGCTTGAGGGACTGTCAGACACTTCAGACCTAATACGGGAAATGAGGGTCAGAGTGCGGACATGCTTCAATTTTGGCTGGGGATATGCTGCAGAAGACAATACGAAACTGGGAACATGTCAGAGTAGACAACAGGGCTATTGCTCCAATCAATGTTCCCACTACAGACTGCTGAGGTCCGAGGGCCAAACATCATTACCAAGGGGCACTATATAGATCTTTAGTTATTAGATGGATCACCAGCTGGGAGGAAGGAGGTCCTGTCATCTATTTTGATCTTTACTTATCATTAAAGGGGTCATCTGCAGGAGGAAGTCCTGATTCCTCTATACAGATCCTTAGTTACCACTAGAGGAATCACCAGTGGGAGGAAGGAGGTCCTGATTCCTCTATAGGGGCAGGGGTGTGGAAATTAAAAAAAAAAAAAAAAAAAACTACAAGGGACTAAATTGAGGTCCCAATCTACTTGTCCTGATTAAAATTTTTTTGTTTTTACCAAAACACCCAGGGACTAGCAAGGAGGGGGGAGACCTTGCAGTGTAACAAGCACAGATTGGGTGCTCGTCAAGAAAGGCTTTCTTAGCGCTCAGCAGAAGTGCATCCACTGAACATGTAAATGAGGCACCGACCCCAGTGAAGGGGGAAGGAAACCTAGAATCCCTCAGGTGATCCTCATACATGGAAGCACTTGGGTGCTCAGCACACGTATGCCGCATGTCTATACTCCATGGGGTGGAAACCAGGAGCTCAGGGCGGTTAGGCTGTGTAACTTTCCTGCCTGCAGTGTGAGGTGACACAATGACGGGCCTGGCTCAGGGAGGAGTGTGGTGGTGCTCCCAGGCTCTGGAGGACAAGCAAGGTTAGCAGACACCTCCAGGCCCAGGCAGGTGGGCTGGATTATTATTACTCAGCAGTAGTCAGTGTATTGGACAGAAGGGATGGGACTGTACTACCTGAAATCTGGTCAGTGGGATCGGTGGACCACATGCCACCCCCACGCCATACACACACACACACTTCGGGATGTTGTTGTCGTCAGTGGAATGAAGAGCACCACTATATACAGGCCAAGAAGGAACTACACTTCCCGGCAGGCTGTGAGAGAGGGAAGTCCATACCAGAGCAGACCTGGCAGCAAATAGGTGGCGGGGGTGTGGGCAACTGGCAGATGATTGGCCATTGGATGGCAACATGTGGGCTCTATGAGAAAGGCAAGGGGCTGAACCTGCAGATAGCTGGAGGCGGCAAAATTAAGCTCTGGTGTCCGCTCTGTTAAGGGGCAAAATAAATAAATAAATGTAAAAAAAGGAAGTAAACCCTGCTTCAGTCGGTTGATAGAAATTGTACATCCCCCGCCCCCACAATACCACATTTGGTATTAGGGGGAGGAATAGTGCCCTATCGTTGGTATTATCGGAAGGAATAGTGCCCCCCTTATTGGTGTCAATGGCGGAATAGTGTCTCATATCAGTGAGGGGCTCAAGGGACAAATAAAGGTTAGCAGAGGGCAACATTTGGCCCCAGGGCTGCAGTTTGGAGACCACTACTCTATATAGATCTCAAGTTATCTCTAGAGGGTCACCAGCAGGAGGTCTTGATTCCTCTATATATTTATCTCTAGAGGGATCACCAGTCCTGAAGATCTTACTTACAAAAAGATATTGATCAGCCAGAATGAGTCCAGAAACGGGCAACAAACATGGGGGCATGACCTTAAAACTAAGAGGAAATTTCAAAACTATTCTAAGAAAGTAATATTTTAGAGAAAAAGTAGTTGATTCTTGAAACAGATGTTGATTCTAGTAAACAGTAAAGCTGGCCATACATTATACAATTTTCTTTTTCAATTTCCTTTAAATGTCCCTTCAACTATGTAGTGGAAGGGCCTGTCTGATTGCATACAAATTAAAAGTGTTTAGGTTTGACCTCATACCATATGGTTTTGGTAAATCTAAAGGAAAATTGTACAAGATAACTGAATAATGTATGGCCAGCCTAAATGAATTTAAACATTTTCGAGACAAACATAGATCTAAACCAAGACAAAACCCCCCCCCCCCCCCAAAAAAACAAAAAAAATGGCAGATGCATCACAGCTTACAATACAAGAGCAATAAGATGAAATCCAATTAAGAGTTAAAAAGAAAAATGTAAAAAAGTCTCAATAAACCAGCCTATGGGGCTTTTGCAGCTCTTTCTACAAAGTTCCAGGCAAGTTAGGGTTAAAACTACAGAATGGAAGCATGTTGAAACCTTTTACACCTAAAACATACAGGAGAGGGGGAGGATCAGTGGCGAAAAAAAAAAACAGCTCGTGCCTCTTCTGAAACCAGCAACACAACGGCAAATATGGTTGGCAGGGCGTGTTTACACAGAGCAGAGAAATTATTGCCAATTGCTACAATCATGACTAATTTATGAAGCAATCTGCGGAGAATTCAGCTTGCCATGTTGACAGTAACCACGCCGCTGATGTCTCAGGGAGAGGGGCTCGATGGATGCAGCCCGGGAAGGGATTTAAAGGTGAACTCTATCCTACAGCAGGATACTGTTATGACAAGCTTCTAAAATTGCCGATTTCCATTAAGGAAGTCCATTAGGGATGCGTCCATTAAGCAGATCAAAGCTCTCACTTTATTGGCATTGTAACACTGAAAAAAAACTTGAAAAATGATAATTGTCTACTCGGAAAGTTGATGAAAGCATGCAGATAAATGATAAAAGATGCGTTTCTAGAACCTTTTTGAACCTGGTTGCTGTTGGAGCATAGCAGGAAAAGCACAACTAATTCTAAGGCTCGCCATG